TGAATAAAGCTGATTTAATGGCCAAACAAAAAAACAGAAAGCCTATAGCTGTTCCTCGGTGTAGTATGGATGGATGTGCCGTTCAATAAAGCTCTTACACCTCCACAGAAGAGGCGAAGCAGCGAGATTAGCACTTTGAAGATGACTGCGTAAAAAGATGTGCATGTTCACTTTCAACGCCGAGCTATTTGTTATGAGGAGTCGGAGAACTGTATGGAAATGAGTTCCGAGATGAAAACGCTGTGTGCATTCAGTTTGTGAGCCCGGGAAGCTAACTTCTTCACATTCCCAAACACTGCCAGAAAAATCACCAATCTTCTGAAGCAGCCATCCGTTCAGCAATGAAAATAAGGGGAAAATAAATCAATTTATACTGTGTGTATGTATGGCATCCAGATTTCTACCTCATCCTCATTTACCGAAAGACAGCCATCCTAAATCAGGCTCAAGATTTATTTCAACACCCTGTATCTTGTCAGATTTTCCTGTTTCTAAAGAACCTTGACCCTTAGATCTGAAGTTCAAAAATCGAAATAAATAGATGCATAAAGCTGAAGTTGAGGACTACAGTATTTCGACAGGTTGTTTTCTTCGTAAAGTGGAAAATGCATTTCTTAATCTACCAAACACATCCTCGCTGATGAGCTCTTGTTTGACCATATGATGCATCTTGGCTAATCAAAGTAATTACAGTACTAGTTTTCTTCCACCTCAAAGCGTTTATTTCTTTTACACAGAGGGAGCATTATGGCACATTGAACAATGAGCTCATTAAGATGCCTTCTTATCATTTGGGATTAGATTATACAAGTCATTTCAAATCAGTGGCTGAAAATATAGCAGCAGCACCGCCGCTGTGCTCGTTCTTAGCCTTTTCCATGACTCTCCATGTACATGCAAAAACACCGGTGGCTGCCACTCACAGTTGGATCATTTCCTTTCAGCCTTTGATTATTTGATTATGATATATATATATATTTTTTTCAATGAACAGTGAATGCTTTACTTAATAAGTTTAAGTATGTGAAGTACAGTTCTGTGATTATAGTGCACATATACACTGTACTGCCTCGTCATCATGGCTGCCAAAAAGAAAAGGTCAAACAAAACGTCAGCAACAGACTGCTATCAAAGAGTAACGTCAGAGAGTGCAGTTTAGAGAGTGTTAGTTTTACAGCTGCACCTGGAACAGGAATCATGTTCTTCCATTAGATCTGAGACTCTCTTAAACTACCCTGTCAGAGTCATAATGAAACAAAGCAGCAGCTAAAGTGTTGTTATATTCAGGCTGCCCCTCCAGGGTATTGATACATTATAAACATGGCTATATGCAGCTGAGCAAGGGTAGACAAAATACAGTACCTGCTGAGTGTGATAACACTGTGCTACACTGAGTAGACAACACATTAGGGAGCGCTTTCAATTTCAACGCCGAATCTACAGCAACTTCGGCAATGCACTGACAATGTAAATCGGTTACACTTCCACTGACTGGTGATGGAGTCCAATACAATGTGCTGTCAACAGTGGCCTGGTTTGTGCAGCGGCAGTCTGGCAGTGAGCACTTCTGCTTGCTGTGCTGGCAGGTGGAGAGAGTGCCGAACCGGACCGTGTGTGTGTGTGTGTGTGTGTGTGTGTGTGTGTGTGTGCGTGTGTGTGTGTGTGTGTGTGTGTGTGTGCGTGGGTGTCATGTCACATTCAGCTCATCTGTCAATGTAGTGGATTATTTCTTGAGAGACCAGAATTGGCTGCCCGGAATCAGGCCGCCATCAATCTTCAGCCGCACCAGCAGGACGCAGGGGAGGCTGTGTGATGCAGAGGCTCATGGGAAGGAGAGCGGCGGCGCTTCCTGAGCAGGTGACGAAGCAGTCAGGCAACTCGTTACTCAATCTCCGCCTCGGCGGTGACTATGGCCATTTGTCACGGAAACGTTTGCAAAAAATAAATAAATGCGATCTTGAAACTTTATCTCAGCAGTCGCTTTTTTTTTTTTGGTATGCACCGCCAGCTCACTGTTGCAGATTTGAGCAGATTCATCAAAACATTTTTCAAAGCTTCAACAGGCTGGAGAATTACATGTGTAACTAGCTCAACATGACCTTCACCACCTCCTCATATATCAGCACAGCCCCTTGTCTGTGTATCTCTGTCTATGTGGGATGGTTTGTGAGTATTGGTACCACTCAGTCGCTCAGACAGTCAGCAGGGCTTCATGCCAATTTCAACACAAATATATGTTTTCTTACAAAAAATACCGACCCCCTATTTCACTTCAAAACTTGGATGATGACTGTTCAGAAGACAATGCAGCTGCAAAGCAGAATAACAGCTTCGCCTATCTTCATCAAGCAATAAAAAGATAATGATTCAATAATCTCAGCAGATGGAAGGCATGTGCGAATCTAAGATAAAACGCTATTTCTATTAATCAGTTTATCTGCACAGACATTTTGAATCTTGTATTTCTCATGCTTCATTAACAAAACCATTTTACAACTAGATGCTCTGTATGTCAGAGAGTATATCACACATTTTTTCATCATCCTTTAGAAACACAGAAACATTATTTGATTATGAAAAAACAGCAAAGCATGAAAGCCAAGATTTCTTTTCTTCCCCCCCCCCCCCCGCTATGTCCTACATAGCCATATCTATTTATATCTGAGGGTTCTGGCCTCAATGAAACCAGAGAGCTCCTCAAATTATAAAATCAATTCTAATTCAAATATTCATCATAGCATTTCAATTCTGAGAGAGCAGTTCTGGTTAGATCGGTTAACGCCACTCCACGGCTGAGTAAGATTGATGTCAACTTAATCCTCTTAAAAAAACATGATATACTGTGAATTGTACAGTTACTGAGCAGCAGAGAGAGAGAGAAAAATAAACAGACAGACAGTGTTCTCTTCGAGCGCCCAGTTGTGATAGACCATTATCCCTGGGAAGCCTGCTGATTAGGACAGTAAAATATGTTAACATATCCTCAGATTTTGATTGCCAGCACCAATTATGGTTGTCATCCATCACAGTTTGTATCATTTTATAAGTTTTCTGGAGAGTACTCATGTTAAAATAACACTTTAACCCACCATCTGTCTCACGGGGCCTTTCACACAGAAAGCAGCAACGGTGCCACTGCGCTCTGAAAACCCTTATTTCCAATTGCTTGGACGGTGCCACGACGGCATTTCCTTGCTCCGAGCAAAGTGTGAGCCCAAAGTTCAATCTGATTTGTACAGCACTCCAGAATTTGCGCTGCGCTCGCCGCTGGGTTCAGTGCGCATGTGTGAAAGGCCCTTCAGCTTTATTACATCTGTCTTTTGATTAGATCTTGGTGACGTTATTGTTGCTTAACAACGTAAAGGAAATCTGAGACTTTGAAAGATCAAATCAACAGTGTGTGTGTTTATCAACCATCTGCAGCGTGCATCTTCTCAGACATGATGTGTCCTGAACACAGCTCCAGTATCCCCAGAGGGCCCATGAAAACAACACACCATAACGGCTTCAGTGAGAAAATGGTGTGTAAATGTGTGAGCATGTGCATGACTGTTGTGAGTTGAAAGTGTGTGAGTTGATTTGTCTGATAGGACACCTTCCAGAGAACCCTCAGCCATATCTTTGGCCTGGATGACTCTTCTAGATGTGCGCCGGGGGTGGTGGGTCTTGTTTTTTTCCCCCCTCTCTTTCCCTTTGGGAACTCTGCATTATTCAAAAGACACTTACTGAACCTTGCACTTCCTTGTACATCTTTGGCACCAAGCTCGACTTGCCAACCAGTCAAAAAGAAAAAAGAAAAAAAAAAACTGAAAAACTGGAAGCCAGCCTTTAAAAATTCATCGGGATCTCTCTGTCGCTCATCCCTCACCCTTTTGTTCCAATTATCGGGACCAGGATACTTTGAGAACTTTCTATCTATCATAGCCGGGATTTTACTGTGTCAGCGGTTCCAAAGCAAAAGTAAGCCAATTCTCCGACATGCTGCTTAAAGTCACCAATGTTCAACACTGGCATGGTGAATTCAATGCTGGAGTTTTTTTTGTTTCTTTTTCTCTTGCTGTGCTTCAATTACAGTCTGTTTTGCTTGTCAATGCGACACACACACACACACACACACACACACACACACACACACAACAGGGATGCAAGCAGAAGATAGCATCAATGTTTAACAGCCGCTTGGCTTCTGGAGAGATCCCCACTCTGAACGACGGTTCAGCTTGGGAGTCACCCTCATTGTTAGAAGCTTAAAGAAAGCCTATGCTTTGCTCAAGAAAACCGTTGCCTTCTCCGTAACACTCCAACATACACCATAAGCAATGCTGGTAAGCTTTTCCATAATAAGAGAATTAGATCCGCCTTGGCGTCTACCCTCCTCTTCTGCCCCTACGGTGCAGAAGGCGTCGGGCTTAATTGCCAAACGCTCCTAGTGCAAGAGAGGGAAACATAATTGTCATTTCCATCTAAGCCACAGTGATCAAAGCTCCCCTGACTACCAGCACAGTAATAGGGATTTTTGCTCATAGCTTGTCCTACTCGTAACAGTCTGCCAGCAAGATTCAGGGTGTAGTAGTCGAGAATTCTTCGCTGCAAACACAAATCACCTCCCTACCGACAAACTGTCTGAGCATGTCTGAAGATGCTCTTTGTCTTACAGGGTTTCCATGTTCAGATTAAAACAGAAACTTGCAGCTCAGCCTCACAACCAAAGTATTGACAGTCTACATATTTCTTCCTTAAATGGATCAAATGTGTACGAGTCGATCGGTAGAGTGTGACTAAATACATGTATGTAACATGCAATTACAAGCACACTTAGTGGTGAATCATGGGGGTGAATCCTCTTGATACAGTACGGTGGTAAATCCTTCTGACATACTGCAGCAGTCTCTCGCTTTTAAAACAGCCAAAGCGAAGAAACGCTGTCCCATCGAGAGGGCAACGTCTCGCACTGTAGCGCTGTGCTCTGAAGCCAAAATCTGACAAAGAGGTGCACGTACCCAGGGTGAGAATGTCGGTGCGACCGGGCCGGGCCACATGGTGCTGCTGGATGGTCTGGTAGAGTGTGGCCTGGCACAACAGCAGCAAGCCGAGGCTAATCCACATGGCCAACAACCAGGACATGGTAAGGCCGAGTCTGCATGGCGGCACACGGCGGGAGAGAAACAGGAAAAAACGGTATTACAGCGTGTCTCCATACATACATATTTACAAGGCACACACACATCATGTTTACTTTAATGTGCCAAACAAAAGAAACAATATAGTATGCTGATAGATCTTCTGATATAACCTGTTTGTTATGTTTAAACAAATATCAATACTGGTAAGATGTATTTAAAGGTATGTGCAAAGGTGTTTTCTTACAATAACACTATGAATGAAAAGAAAAAGAGAAGACAGAGGCTTTAAAAACAATTTTTAGGAAAACCTGCAGAAAAAAAGTAAAAGTTAATCTTGTCAATATCTGTCAGTATACCACACAAAAATATATGATGAAATGCAGAACAAGGGAAAGAGCCTTTGTTACACTGTAATAGTTGCATAATGATCTATGTCACTCCTTTAACATTACAGTTCCATTAACAGCAACAACAACAACAACAACAACAGCAAGAGCAACATTAAAGCCTTAAATATCCTTAAGGTTCATAAAAGATTGCATTTCCAAGCACAAACAGCCCCTATGCAGACTTGTTCAGCGACTGCCTAATGGCTGGTGAGGGCCAGCATATGGAGACACGCCTTAGCCCTCATTGAATAACGAGGCTCTCCTCCTTTCCAGGTGTTGTTCGCGCTCATCTCCATTTAGAAATTTGAAAGCGGCATCCCACCTCTTAGAAACCAAAATGTGGCTTTGCGTGTTGAGTAATCCCTGGACTGATCAGTGCAGTTTTGAGTTGAATATATTTCACCCGAGTCACTCGCTGTATCACTGAGATATCACAGGCACTGGCCGTATTTGTCATTTTTCACTGAGGTGGTGACTTTCTGAGTGAATCAGATGCTCTAATGTGACAGTGTGAATCTGACACTCCTTTAATGCTTGATTCTGCCATATCTCAATACACGGGAGAATATAAAGCAGACTCTGAGCCCCAGGGAGTCTCTTCAATATGAACTTCAAACCATGGAAATTTTACATTTCAATAAGGACTCTGTATAGGCAGACGTGTGTCAAATGTCTGAAGAATGAAAGCGGGCCTGATGCGCTACGTTGTTTCCACAAAGCACCAAAGCCACACGCTTGCTTGCTTGCTTTGCTCCAACTAGACCACTTTGTGTTTTGATGTGCATCAGAGATTAAAGCCATCAGGCTACTAAAATGCTCTGTGCCCTCAGTGTCATTGAGACTGCTTAATATTTTTTGAAAATTAAGCATATAATTATGAACAGCACATTGTAAATCCCCACCCCTGCCCTAAATCCACCATAATCCGCGGTTTTGAGGAAATGTGAACTGCTCCCATGGAAGTGTTTTCCTCTTCTTCTTTTTTTTTTTTTAACCACACAGTATTTCTGTTCACCGAGCTGGCTTCATATTCATAAGCGTCGTTGCGCCTTCATGGTTAGCTGCATATTGCATAGAGACTCTGAGCTCCCCCCCCGGTTATCGGAAGGCATTCTTGCTGAAAATAAAATGTGGTTCTTACCAGCAGCGTTTTCACCGGAGGTGAAGACTTTCAGACTTTAAATGACAAGGAACAAGGAACAAGCATGGGCATCATTTTAAAGCAACTTCAGAGGAAGAGAAAGCAGCTGTGGAGAAAACAGAACCCAACTCTTCTCTAGTCGCTGCTGCAGCCTCGTTTCCACAGAGCACGAGAGCTTTTAAATAAACAGCCGTCTTGTTTTCCTTTACTCTCAATTTAGTAGTGTCACGTAAAAAAAAAAAAAACAGCACGAGACAGTGAATGCGGTCGAGGAGCACAAACAGCAGACACACACCTGCAGGCGCCAACCCACAGACGCACCTGCGTGAAACGTTGATTTAACAAAATTAGACCTGTTTTTGTCTCTTGCAGCTCACACTTCACACACAACTTCAGCGCTGACTCCCAGAAACGCATGTGTCTGATCGTCATACAGCAGGAGGCGACCACTCGGGATGATCGAGGTGTCACAACATTACTGGTGGTTGCCATCTTATAGCTGAACTTTCTTTTGCATCCTATAAAATGCAATGCAGTGTTGCCACCATGTTTGTTTCAAATACATTTAAACCTTATGAAACATCAAACACAACGCTGTTTGATGACATACAGGGTGTTTGTAGCAAAAGCTGTTTTTCCTATTTTTCTACATGCACACAGTCTCCCAATCAAGTCGTATCATCCTCACTCAACTCAGACACATTTCTCTGTCTCTCTAAGATAGTTTTCAGCACCCCACCCCACCCGTCCCGGCCCCAAAACACCGGAGGTATTCCTCGAAAGTCCCACACCCTTACCTGAGCAGTGTGTTCAGAAGGAAAGGAGCTCAGTCAGAATCACTGCCTGCCTGCCCAGCAGACTCACTCCTCTGTCTTAAATCCATCCATATTGTGAAGCCAGGGATTCCCTCCTGAAATTCCAGCACCAGAGAAGTGGAACAGCGGCGCAAAAGGGGCAAATATTCTGTTTCTCCAACCCACTCCCCCCCTTTCTCTCTCTCAGTATTCTCTCCTGTGGACCCCACGCTGCTCAGTTCCTTTTGAAATCCTTGGCAACACAGTCACCAACAGCAAAACACCCGGGGGTCTGTGTCACAAACTGCCCAGGATTTGAGGTGATGGGAGGCTGATCATGTCACTGCTGTATCGGCCAAATGCGCGCAAAATCTCCTGTCCTCTCCTTCCTCCAGTCCGTGTCTCTTCTGCGTCTGTAGAAACTCCTTTTGTTGTGATGACAGGGGGCTAATTTACCTCCTTTCACTTGTCAGCTCCTTCTCACACGGGCAGCGGAAGGCTCCAGTGGAATGACTGCTCTGTCCGCTCTTGGCTGCCTCCCCCCATTGAGAAGCTGTGCTGATAGTGTGAGCCTCAGTCCTCTCTCCAACGCACTAAGTAGAGAGTCTGTGTCAGGGAGGCAGAGCGAGTGTGTGAGTGAGCGTGTGTGTGTATTACAATGTAGCCCAGCTGGAAAGAGAGAGAGAGAGAGAGAGCTGAGAGAGCTGAGAGAGAGTCAGATCACATGTCTTAAAGCAAGACTGCCCACTTCTGCATCAAGACTTCATCAGCAATTGAAGAATGCTTTATTAACCCACCCCTCTTTACATCCCAGCCTTTTATTTTATCCCACAATGTCAGGAGACACGCGAGTATAGCCTTCAGCTCACTTGTGAATGTGTCTGAGCGTATCCATCTGCGCATGTATGTGTGCGAGTTGGAGAGAGTGTGCAGGGAGGGTGACTGAATGTGCCTTTTTTAGACATCGCCCGCCAGCGTTTGAGGGCTGAGAGTGAAACATGCTCCAAGCGCAGCACTTTTAATAGAAGGCAGAGTGCCTCATCAGAGCGCCACCATCACCATAGTATCTATTACGAGCCGGCTCTTCTTACCTGTTGTTGTGGTGATAAGCAGGGATTTTTTTATTTTTTTTTTTGCAGCCTGCCCTTTTTTTGGATGCTTTCCCCATCACCAAAACAAAGTTGCATTGGCAGCGACAGCCTGATGGAGCATGTGAGCATCCTTCCGTCACATGCTCGCAAAGCGAACCCGAGCGGCATCCATTGTCTTCTCGTGTGGGTGCACGCCTGTGTGTGTTTCATTGTCTTCTGTGTGGGTGTACGCCAGTGTGGGTGTACGCCAGTGTGTGTTTCCACCGCGCTTGAGCCATGCAGGCAGGTGGTCTTTGCCTGGGTGGAGTATGTTTTCCTCCAACACATTACCTTCCATGTGGAGGAGCTCCTCTTTAAGTCATTATATTGTTAACCAGAGATTTACAGTATATGCCAATCCCACGCACCTGCCACGGCTGACTCGCTCACAGTCTGACCTTTCACAGAAAAGTAACCTTATGCTACTCACGGCAATACACAGCTGAGGGGCTCAATAGGCTGGCAGACAGTGAGGTGCTGTGGGGGAGTACAGACAGATGAACCTGATGATGAATATCTGTGAAAACTTTGTCTCAGAGCTGTAGCTGCGCCCTGATTTCTTTGCATGCTATGGTTTATGTATTGTCGGCGTGCGTCTCAGAGAACCACAGTGCAATGTTATCAGCTTCCTGGTTGTTGGCATGCAGTTATCTACAGTAGGCAGAGTTGTTGAGATGGTTAATAAGCCCTTAATTGCTGTGTCACTGTGCCATGCCACATGCTGCTGATGCTATCACCTGTGCTCGTTCTTTATGCACCATAGGATTTGACAGCCAGATGTGCACGGACCCACAGAGTTACAATCTGCAGGGGAGAAAGGGGCTGAATGTAGAGAAACAGTGTAAAACAGAGGAGGAGATGTAGAAAACATGGTTTAGGAATAAGAGTGTTTGTTATTCCCCTTTTAAACCATGCAGTGATTTGTTTTTGCCTTTGGACTGCGTCCTTTGTACTCACATAGTTCTGTAATAATCTATTGCGAATGCTGTTTTGAATAGTGAAGCTGCCATCTGGATCTCTGTTGGGTTAAAGCACGCCACTTGTTAAGTGACCAGATTCACATTAAGCGGGAACTGCAGAGTAATTACCGCATTGATTAGTGCTTCTACGCTGTCAAGCTATATTGGCACCAAATGCCTTGATTACCAACAAATCGGGTTATTTGTGTTTGTGCATAGTTGTTATTTCCTTTTGTAAGGAGCATTAATACATTCAGGCTTGAATTTCATTTTGTCTTCAGAGCTTAATGTCTCTAAGATCTGTCCCATTGGACTGAGATGAAGGTTTGAAATGAAACAGGCCCCGCACCAATGCCTCAGAGGAGAACTTCAAATTGAAGGCATCCAATTACTAATTGTTCCTTTCAGCAACGTGCAGCACCAACACAAGTCTCCCATTTGTATCTTAATTTTTTCCTTTTGTTGATTTGTTGAGGTCTCCTGTTTTTCATTCAGACACAGTGTGAGCTGTGTTGGGAGGATGGATTGGGACAACACAATTTCACAGTAATTCTGGATTGTTGTTTGTGGTCCCGCTCTTTCCTGTCTCCCTTCTCAGGGGCTTCCATCATTTCCAAACAGCTGTCGCTGCAGCCCATGCCAAGACATAACCACGACCGACCAATCACTGGCCAACTCTGTGTTTGGATCTGGGCAGCCCTGTTAAACAGCAGGGTTCGCCAATATCGCTTTTTCGCTCTCCGTCTTTCTTTCCCATTCTATCGTTCTCTTTCTTTCTCTTTCTCCCTCTGGCTAATACAATTCTTCCTTCCAGTGTAGCCAACAAGCATCAATATGCACCTGCTAGCAGTACAAAAATACCATTTAAAATCCCCCCCACACAGCCAGCTTTCTGCTTTCTTCTTTTAAAAAAATGAGCCCTTGTCCACTATTATTCCGACATATGTCTCAACGTTTCTCACTGGAGCGAACCAAGCATTTCTTCATCTGATGAGGGGAATCGTTGTGTTAGTAAACCTACTCTCCATAGACACTCGCTCCATAAAACATCCTGTCAGAGAAAAAAGGTAGAGTGACACAGGGAGGCAGAGAGGGGAGGTGGGGGGGTGGGAGGAATAGCGAGAAAGATTAAGGCAGGGAGAGAAAATGAATTTGGAAGAAGTATGCAGCGGCAACTCTTGCTCAGTGGTGGATGGAAAAGAGAAGAAGATGATTAATAAAACGAAGGAGCCTGATCTGTAGAAATAATTTATTTCACATTTATCAGAGCATTCTTTTTCCTGCTTCTGCTCACAGGTGTTCATTACTGAGGGGACCCGGCATTGAGGATATTGTCGATTTGTAATTTTAAGTGTGAGAGGTAAGGTTAGTGGATATACAGTTCTCCACACATAAACCTTTTAGGCTTTACCTTCAGCCTTTTTTTTTACTGTCAGCAGATCCTGGGAGAATACAGGCTTACATGTCAGTGCGAACTCTATGAGGAAAACACAGACGCAAATTGTTATTTCATAGCCATAAATCTAAATGATTTTTGCTGTCACATTCCTAATTACTTGCTCATTTTCATCAAGAGGCAAATTCAAGTCGGTTAGTCACTGACACACTTCACTCTTCTTTAATTGGGCCATTTTTTTTATTTCACTGGTGTTTATGTTTATAATCAGAAGCAAAAGCAGAAGTATTGTGACATTATACCGCTCTATAAAGTCTTAAGGATGAGGTTGGGTTCGATATTTTGGCAAACTATGTGTGTGTCTGTGGTAAATCACAGTGTATATATGTGGTCGTACTCTGCCAGATTCTGTATGTTTTCTTGGCATTGGAGCCGTAGTCATGTTTTGCCTCTGCCTGTTGTTATGACCTGCTTGCTTGTTATAGCCCTTTCGATTTGTTTGCTTGTCCTGACAGCCTTCCCGCTGCCAACCGTGAGCCTGCCTCTCAACAAGGTGAGGACTATTTTTTACCATGGGTGCTCTTGTCTCTTGAGTCTGCTTTTTTTTGTTTCTAGCTCTGTGATCAGCTGTCGAAGTGTCAGCTTAAACATGAACCCCTGTTTTGGGACTTTTAACAGTATGAATCCTTCAGGCCTCAGTGACGTCAATCTGTGTTTCCCATTAATTACCTAACTGTGGCGGCCCGCCAAAGTCTATTTTGTACAACCACAGTTTCATAATGAACCGAACATCTCTTAAAACTCAACGGGTCAGTCTCTGCAGCGGTGCGCAGCGATCGGCTCTACTTTGGCTCGGAAACCCAAGACCACAACCTTAACACAAATAGTTTTGTAGCCTAACCGTGTAGTTGTGTTGCGTAAATAACTAACAACTAAGTAAATCTACGTTGGAAGTTTATTTTGAAAGAGACTGTATGCATGTAACAAACAGAAAGTGTATGTTTCCTGGGAGCACAGAGGTTTATTTTGAAAAGACACTATGCATGTAACGTGTGAAAACCGACACACCGTCCCTGACACGTCCAAATCTGATGCTAGAGGAGTAGAGCACCATAGTTTGCAGCGGTATTTTAGTTGTGAGTGAGAATGTGTTAGTACTGTACACATACTGTTGGGAACCAGGACTATAGGGACAAAACATAACCAAATAATTTGCAAACAAAAGAATTCCAGTTTGGTATGGACTCATTCATTTTGTTCGTTTGAATATAAAGCACATTGTAGGCCTATGTCATTGTGTAAAGTGCTTTACAGATTATATAAATTATTGTTACTAAATTGTCTTTCACATGTTTATTAATGTACCTTAGGACATAATTCATTCTTCTGGCATCTTTGCACTCAAGTGGTATTGGAATTTCTTTAAATGTAAAATGTTTTGTATGGAAAATATGTTATAAAAGAGTTGTTGGTCTCTCTACCAAAAATCCAAGAAAATATTAATCGTCACATATTCAATCATATACTCTAGGTGGCAGTGAAAATAAGTTGTGGCTTTTTTTGTGTTTGAAGTAGGTCAGAAATTCTGTACTGGTAATGCGCTGGGACTCACCGGGTCTCAGCGGGGGACGTTTCCTCTCCCTTGTCAGTTCAGGATGGAGGAGTAATTGAGCGCTAGACGACTCTACTGCTGGAGATGATGGCTGCCATGGAAATTTCCCCTCACACACCAATAAAAATGTTCTCCTTCTTACTGTAATTGGACCAGGGACAGTGGGGTTGGGTTCTGGCCCAGGGAGACCACCTGTGGAAATGCTTTGCTCAATACACTACTATCAAACTGATGAGACAGGGGACTCACTGAGAGAGAAAAACGGTGATAAAGAGAGTAATGCTGATGAGAACAACGTGACAAAAAATAAAAACTACACCTGATGCTTTTCATTTTTCAAATTGGAAAAGTATCACATATGTAACTACTCAAGGCTTCTTCAGAATGACACCTGTCAATTTCCCTCAACAGTTGGACGCTGAGTCTGTGAGCCTTTTTGGAGAATTCTCTGTACGTTGTTACCATATACTGTACACTGTCTGTCTGATGTTTGGTGATGGTCACGTATACATTACCAGAGCTTTTCCAATGACTTCAGTGGC